ATATAACAGCTTATATTTATAGTTTGTTTTTGTTTTTTTTAAGAATCCAGCACAGGGTAAAGCTGCTCACGGAGTGCTTTCCTGCTAACAGTAAAGGCTTCTACTGTGCTTCAGGTCCCTTGTTGACCCTGGGCCATTTTCATTACTGGCTACTTGGTTCAAAACATTTCCATGTTTTATCCAAATATTTGAGTTTTAAATCCATAGCTACTGTGACTTAACTGGCTAATTCCTGCTTGCTTCTGGTCTGCAAATGTTACTTCCTCAAGCTGGTCTTCCACCATCTAGACGAGGTTGAGTCAAGGTTATGAGAGCTAGGTGCTGCTCCCCCAGAGTGTCCAATACTTACCTATGGTGGTAAGTTCACTCATTCAATAAGTATTTCCTGTATTGAGTGCCTGCAATGTACCAGGTCCTGGTCTAGTGTTGGGACTATCCTATCTAATAATAGACAAACATGGTAATAAGACTGGCTTTATTGTGGTGGTCTGGAACCGAGCCCACAATATCTCCGAGGTGTGCTCCTACATGAAGGCAAATAATAGATATCTGGAGACACGTTTTTTCTACATTTTTTAGTTTCTATCCAAGAGTGTGGTTGTGCTACAAATCCCAAACCCATAAAAATGACCTGGAGAGGCAAAGAGCTGGGCGTTGGCATCTAGTGGACATACCTCCCAGAATTGGGGGCCTCCCAGGAAAAGGCCCGGTTTGCTCTCTATAGCGCCATCACCCGCTGAACGATGGTCTTTAAGTGATATTTCGGAGCTGCAAGGCCATCATCTTCTTTAAAGGAGCACTTAGAGGTCCCACTGCCCTCCACAGGGCTGGGACCCCTCACCCCTTTCTAGGGAAGACCGAAGGCCTTCAGGTCCCCTCCGCGATTCCCAGACCTTACCTCGCTTGAACTCCTCCAACACGGCGTCCAGCTTGGTGTCGTTGAAGACAAAGTGGAGCGGGTGGTTGTAGAAGCGGGTGATGGTGCTGAGCGGCGTGCAGTCCTCGGGGTCCACGAAGGCCAAGTCCTTGAGGTAGAGCATGTCCACGATATTGGAGCGCTCCTCCTCGTACACGGGGATGCGCGTGTGGCCGCTCTGCATGATGCTGGCCAGGACGCCGAAGTCCAGCACGGTGCTGGCGTCCAGCATGAAGCAGTCCTCCAGCGGAGTGAGCACCTCCTCCACCGTGCGGTAGCGCAGCACGCCCTTGCTGAGGTCGCTGTAGGGATCGCCGCCACCTCGTGCCAGCTCCAGCACGCGCTCGCGCAGCCGCCCGGGTCGCGCTGCCAGCTCCAGCAGCTGACCCACTGGCAAGGCCACGGGCAGGGTGAGCAACCCAGAATAAAAAAGAAAGAAAAAAAGGAGAGGTTGGGAGCTTCAGTTGCAGGCTTGACCTCTCTGAAAACGGCCCTCAGCCCCTCATCCAGACTGGCCAGGCACCCCAGTGGGGACACCCACCCTAAAGGGATAGAGGCCTGGTGCATGGGTGGGGACCGGCTGGTTTGCCCTGAATGGTGTCCCAGATTAGGGTGGGGGTCCCGCTTGGGTGCCTGGCCAGCCTGGATGAGGGGATGATGGCTGTTTGCAGCTGGTCACACCCCCTTCAGAGTCAGGGTCCCCACTGCGGTGCCTGGCCAATCT